AGGGAGACTCATTAACCTGCAATATGCTTGATGAAAATGAGTAAGACTTGAAGAACTTACAGATGAAGGTTAAAAATGACAATACAGTTTAATATAAATTATGCCTGATGTGAAAACAAAAATCCTTACAACTTAAGAAATAAACATCATGATTAATTAAGAAAAAAATTGAAGTTGTCAACAATTTCATTCTACTTGGATCAATAATCAATGCCCACAGAAACAGCAGTCATTAAATAAAACCATGTGTTGCCTTAGGGGAATCGCTGCAAAAGACTTCTTTAAAGTGTTAAAAAGTCAAGATGTCACCAGACCCAAGTCAAGGTCTTTTCAATCACCTCAGATACATGCATGTGAAAGCTAGGCAATAGAAAAAGAAAAAATAGAAAAATTGATGGATTTGAATTGTATTAGCAAAGTGTGGTTATGAATTGGGCTGCGAGCCACAAGGTCAGCAGTTCGAAACTACCAGCCACTCCGCGGGAGAAAGATGAGGCAGTCTGCTCCCGTAAAGATTTACAGCCTCAGAAACCCTGTGTAGGGTCGCTATGAGTCAGAACCAACTCCACGGCACATAACAACAACAACATTACTATACTGCTGATTGCTAGAAAAAGAAATTAGTTTTGAAAAAATACAACCAGAATGCTCCTTCAAACTAAGGATGACTATACTTTGCCTCACTTACTTTGGACACATCATTAAGAAAGACCATTCACTTAAAAAGGGTATCATGTTTGGTAAACAAACAGACCAACAGTGAGAAATAAGCAAACTCCTCAATGAGAGAGATGGACCAGGCAACATCTACTTCTGTTATAAAGTCACCAGGAGTCAGAGCTGACACTACAGCAACTAACAAGAAGGATGAAAGCATTATTGGCCCACACCACAATTCTACTGGTTGTCTCCAGGGAAAGCATTTAGGCAATTGAGTTGCTAGCTGAAGTAGTCACTCCCCACCCCCCCAAAATAACACTTTTACTTGAAAGAATAAGTCATAGACAAACAACAGTTATTCAAACTTACATACTCAGCAGACAAGAAGTAAGCTTGTTACTTCAAGGAAAACTGGTGACATCTGTTGCCATTCCTATGACTTAAACCTCTAAGTGGCTTATTATTGTTATATTTGAATAAACAAATATTCTACCTATTTCCCAGTTTGAATTTCTAATAAAGTATACATCGAAAGTAATTGACATAAGGAGCCCTAGTGACAAAATGTTTAAGTAATCAGGCTTAGATACTACCAGAAGGTTGGCAAATTAAACCTCCTAGCCACTTCCTGGAAGAAAAGACCTAGAGATCCACTCCAGTTAAAGATGGTTAAATGCCGTTGAGTCACTTTCGACTCAAAGCGACCATGTATAGAGTTTCCGAGAAGTGACTGGTGAGTTTGAACTACCAACCTTGTGGTTCAAACCGATCTTGAGGCCAAGTGCTTATCCTACAACGCCACATCAGCATTCCCTAGTAAACTCTATAGGACAGTTCTACTCTGTCCTATAGGGTTGGCATCTACTCAACAGCACATGGTAAGTAACATTATCCACATAAGCAAAAGCTCTTTGAGGTCATCAATTTTGAAGACAATAGAGATCTTGAGATAAAAAAATTTGTTAATTATATTAGAGCTCTATTCTCTTAATTTTTCCTTTTAGTATTTTTTCAGGATTAGTTATGAGTAGGACTTACAACCACAAGGTCAGCAGTTTGAAACTACCTGTGGTTCCATGGGAGAAAGATGAGGCTTTCTGCATCCATAAAGATTTACAGCCTCAGAAACCCTGTGCAGGGTCACTGTGTGTCGGAACGGACTCCACGACACACTAGCACCAACCACCACCACCACCACCACGTGGGGAAGGGGCTGCAGGAAGGGATATGTTCTGAAAGTGATGACAACATATACACTGTCTATGAAAACTGCACCCGCTCTACCGTGAAATGAAAGCAGTCCTGGTGAATATTGAGAGGATTTCATGTACAAGTCAGCAAAGGCACATATCAAAAAACCAAACTCACTGCCATTAAGTCAATTCCCACTTGATGAATAAGTAAGTCTACCAACAAATTTTAAGTTGCTCATGTGTGTAGAGTCCAGTAGGCTATCCAATAAGCACACCAAAACAGCAAATGAAATTCTGTACCACGTACATACATATATATTTTCCTAAGAGACAAATTCTCAAAGGAATCTATTAACTTCCAAAGGTTAAGAACTGCTGACACAAAAGATAAATTCCAAACTATCTGTAAACTTTCAAAATCATATCAAATCACTTCCTCCCCCCAGTTTATGATCCAACCAAATCCAACTCTCAAAAAGAGCTATGATGCTTCAACTTGTTACACCTTTGGACAAAAAACTTCCTTTGCCTGGAAACCCACTTGCCAAGTGAACAACTACTTCTTTAAATGGCACTTTGATATGTTTTCATGTACTTCTTCCTTAAAAGATCATGAGGAAAAGACCAAGTTTTACTCATTTGCATCCCTTAATTCCTAACACAATTTGTTGTTGTTAAGTGCTGTCAAGTCGGTTCCAACTCATAGCAACCCTGCAGAGGGTTTACAAGGAGTGACTGGTGAGTTTGAACCACTGACCTTGCAATTTAAACCAACCTTGTGGCTGAGTGCTTATCCTACAGTGCCACAAGGACTCCTCCTAATACAACAGGTCCTCAAATACTCCTATAATAAATATTTACTATATAAAAAAGGAGCTCTGGTAGCGTGGTTGTTATGAGTTGGGCTGCTAATCTCAGTCAGCAGTTCGAAACTACCAGAGGTTCTGTGGGGAAAAGATGAGGTCTTCTGCTCCTGTAAAGATTTACAGCTTCGTAAATCCTATGAAGGATCACAATGAGTTCGAACCAACTCAGTGGCACTTAACAACAATATAATAAATTGTTGAGTGAAAACACTATTTCATTAAGAAGTTTAAAAAATGTATTTTCAAAATATACTGGACCTATAAAAACCCTATACAGGGTCACTATGAGTTGAAATTGACTCTACGGCACTAACAACAACAAATAATCAGTAATAAAATTAACATCAAACATAGTTTAAAATGTTAAGGGGATAAAAAGCTGTGTAGTTTTTTTTTTTTTTTCTTTTTAATTGATATATAAGGACAAATTAAAAAATGACTGCCTTTTCATTTAAGTGAAAATTTAAATTATTAACTACAAATTTAATTATAACTTTTAACAATACTAAATCTACTAGGTATAAGATTTTTTTCTTAACTTTTATATGCAATTGCTGTTGTGCTGTCGAGTCAGTTCCGACCCATACCGATCCTGTATAGTGCTTCCTAGGAAAGGCTGGTGAGCTTGAACTGCCTAATTTGCGGTTCAAACCCATTTTGCAATCCGGCGTATTAGCCCACAGCGCCATGCCAGGACTCCTGTATTTATTTGGCTTAGACAACTTTAAAGTGATTTTCACCCTGCAATTCCTTTATAATCCACTGTCATCGAGTAAATTCAAACTCGGAGCGATCCTGTACAGGGTTTCTAAGGCTGTAAATCTTTACGGGAGCAGCAAGCCTGTTTTCTCCCTTGTTGCGCCTGGTGGGTTTGAACTGCCGACCTGTGGTTAGTAGTTCAGTGTTTATGCAACAGTAAATCCTATTCCTTTTACAAGCTTTAATAATTATTCTTTATAAATAATTTTATAAGGAGCTCTGGTAGTGTAGTGGTTACAAATCGGGCTGCAAACCTTAAGATCAGCAGTTCGAAACTACCAGATGCTCCGTGGGAGAACGTTGAGGCTTTCTGCTGCCGTAAAGATTTACAGCCTCGGAAACCCTGTAACAGGGTCGCTATGGAACCGACTCGATGGCACTTAACACCACCACCAATAAATAATTTTAGACCTTAGGTTTTAAAAGCCCTGTTTTAAATGTCTACTTAAAGACACATAAATCAGCACTGTTTCAATTTTCAGAAAACATCAAAGCTTCAGGGAGATGGTGGATATTGGATTTTAAATACTCAAGGAGAATTTGAGTGTTATTTTTAAAACATCCTTGGTTAAGTTATTTAAATCAGTAACTAAGGAAGCTCTTATTCTTCACTATCACTAAAAGAAAAGTTTAAATAGTTACGGGTGTAAATGTTGCTGGCTACAAATACCAATTAATAAGAACCTAAAAGACTGTCATATTTCTTGTTGTTCAATGTCGCGGAGTCAGTTCCGAGTCATAGCGACCGTGTATAGCTAAGCCTGGTGCATTCACTAACTCCTCCAAGCGAGCGCTCAATGCCAAGGTCGAATTAATAAGTCTTCTTTGATGTTAATGATTGCGTGTTCCCCGGAAAGGACTACAAGCTGACTGCAAAATGTTGCTCGGAAATGCCTAAAAACAAAGTCGGGATGTCCGACGCCTAGCAAGTTAATAAGCGAGCGGAACTGACCAACAGTTTTCATAAAGATCTTCCACCACCCGCACGCACCCCCTCCCCTAACCCACAGCTTATTTTTAACTCTTAATTTGGAGCCAATTTTAAAAGTAAATTAAGAACGGAATGCTCCTCCAATTACTGCGGCAGCTTTCGATGGCGCATGGGCGCTAGCCGGCCGCAGGCGCGCCTCAGGCCCCGACTTTCGGTTAGACCGCAACAGGAAGTGTCCTCTTCCCTTGCGGGAAGCAGTGAAGCCAAGGGGAAATTTCAGATCCCACTCCTCCTCGGGGCACCCAGAGGTGAGCTGCAGGGAGCCAGGGCGGCCCCGTGTGGGATGGAAGTGGCCGAGGGACGGCGTGGCCGCGGGGACTCGGGATTCGACGCCGACGCAGCGTCTCTGCCCCAGTGGCCGAAGGCACGGCCTGCCCTTCCTTCCTCCTTTCCTCGCGGTGGCAGCGGTCTGGGGGCCAGCGCCGGCCAGGCTACGACCCTCGCCCTGGGGGCCATTTATCTCCCCGGCCGGAGGCACCGTGGTGACTGGGCCGTGGCGAGTAAACTGCGGACTTGGCCGGCGGTACTCACCCACTGGAGGATCTTGATGAAGCCGAGCGGCTCCTTGAGCGGGCTGAGGTTGATCTGGAAGGCGGACATCCTCTGAGGGAAGGAGGGAGAGAGAGTCAGGCGGCGGGCTGAGGAGGAGGGGGACGCACCGAAAGCCGAGCAACCCCGAGACGCGGAAGGGCAGGCGGGGGGCGGGCGGACGGGCGGGCTGCGGGGCGGGCCGAGCGGCCACTGGGCGGGGGCCTGCGGGAGATCTGGTGGCGGTTGAGCAGCTCCACGGAGGTGCTGGGGCTGAGACGGAAAGGGGCGGTGTGAGAGGCCAGGAGTGGGCAAGACCTAGGGAAGCTCCTCCCCGGGCCGCACCTGCCCGAGCCGGCTGATTCGCTGGTGAACCAAGTAGATGTTGGACGCCATGCTGCGTGTGCCAAGCCGGCTCCCAGTAAATCGAGCCTCGTCGCTCCCCTTCTCCCGCGCACGCGCGCGCTCCTTAGGCCAAGGCCTCTCTCCACGCTGCCTCCCACGCGGCTCTGCCGTGCGCTCTCACCCGGGGGCACGGGACGTCTTAGAGGTACACCCGGGTCCGCTTGCGCCCATGTCCGCGCCTGCGTAATGGGCCATCAGAACCCAGAATAAGACCGTCACCGCCCACTCTTCTAGATCACACCACTCTCTCTTCTTTCTGAACTGCTTGCTACTTTTCCTCTGTACATTCAGGTGGACCTCCCCACAGACATTCCGATTTTCTTCCATTTCCCTTAACATTTTTTAACTTTTACGTGATTTCTTAAAATTAACACAGATGTGAGCATCAATCTCCAGGATCCTGAGACCAGAACTAGATGCTGCCTGGATCCTACTACCAACTGCTCTGAAAGGGATCACAAAGGTCTTGGGTAAAGTGAGAAGAGCCCTTGTGGCTCTGTAGGATAATCTAATCAAAAACTTGTTGGCTCAAACCCCCAGATGATCTGCAGGAAAAAGGTGAGGATCTGCTGCCGTAAAGATTTACAACCTCAGAAACCCTGTACAAGATCAGTGTGAGTCTGAATCGACTCAAAGTGGCAGTGGGTTGAGCCACTCGGCAGAGGCTCTAGGGCTGAGAGTGGGACAAAGTGTGGGACAAAACTCAAAATCATAGCAAAGGACCAGGCCTACTGGACTGATGGAACCCCGAGACAATGGTCCTTGGTCACCTTTGAAGTCCAGAAGGTCTGGAACTGTATTTTCCTCTGTGGCTCAATTTTCAGCCAAGCAATAGATAGTTATATAGGGAGGACAACAACACTAGTGAAGTCCACACACCATAGAAAATCCACCATTCAAGATTAAAAGGGCAGCTATTACCCAAGGACAGAGTTCAGAAGGGTGGGGAAAGAAGGCAGAATGGAAAAGGCTCAAGGAAGCAGTGGGATCCATGATGTTACATCAAGGGGATTGCAATCATTGAGATGAAACGCAGTGTATGATTTATTGTATGTAAAGGGGATACTCTGCTCTGTAAGCCTTCACTCACGCATTCACAATGAAAAATTTATATCTATGTACATATATTGCTGTTGTTATGTGCCGTGGAGTCGGTTCTGAACCATAGCAACCCTGTACAGGGTTTCCGAGGCTGTAAATCTTTACAAGAGCAGAAAGCTTCATTTTTCTCCCGCAGAATAGCTGGTAGTTTCAAACTGCTGACCCTGAGGTTCACAGCCCGATTCGTAACTACTATGCTACCAGAGCTCCTTATGTACATATATACAGAGAGAGAAAGTCCCAACTCAGTCCATTTCATGTGCTCAAGTGGAGTCCCTGGGTAGTACAAACAGTCACACACTCAGCTGCTAACTGAAATGTTGCAGGTTCATGAATACCCAAAAGAAAAGCCTAGCTATCTACTAACAGAAATCACCATGAAAACTAAGGAGTATAGTTCTACTCTTGACTCATAGGGTTGCTGTGAATCAGAATCCATTCAATGGCACCTGGATTTTCTTACTATCCCAGAAGGCATTATGGTTGTCTCTCTTTGCTAAACCACTATAATGATGACCCCCATTTCCTTTTTAATTTTTATTTTAAAACTTTCTTCATCTCAGTGTTCTTCTCCATTATCTTTAATCATCTTTCTAAACTTTTACTCTCACCTGTAGAGGGCTTTGGGGTATATGTCTGGTGGTGGGATAGTGGATAATAGGGCTATTTGGCTTGGATTTCATATTAACAAAAGTTCAAGTTAGACTTTTAATGGTATTCAAAATGCTGTAGACAGGCTTAAAAAAAGATACTAACCTTGTCACCTTAATTACTAAATTGAGAAATGTATAATATACCTTAGTAATCCAGTTTTGACATTTCATATTTATTTATTGAAGGTCCTAGAAACTGGGCCCTTTCTCAACTTCTGGGAAGCTAAACATTTTTTGTCAACTTTTGACTCTTGTTGCTGTCTCTCCTGCTGCAGCTTCAAGCCCATCAGTGAAAGGCATGGGTTTGCCTCCCTTTAGGATGTCAGTTTGTCTTACTGTGGTAGCTTGTGTATTGCTGTGGTTCTGGAAGCTATGCCATCGGTATTTTAAATACCAGCAGGGTCAACCATGATGGACAGGTTTCAGAGCTTACAGATGAAGACAGACTGGGAAGAAAGAGAGAAGAACTACTTTAGAATATTTAGTCACTGAAAACCTTATGAACAGCAGTGGAACACTATCAGCACCAGATTACTGAATATTGAAACATGATGAAAAGCACCAGAATATTGTCAGATACAGTGCCAGAAGATGAGCCCCTAAGGTTGGTAGGCACCCAAAATGCGACTGGGGAAGAACTGCCTTCTCAAAGTAGAGTTGACTGTGATGACACAAATGGAATAAAGCTCTTGGGACCTTCATTGGCTGATGGGGCACAACTCAAAATGAAGAGAAACAGCTGTAAAATTCCATTAATAATCAGAACATGGAATGTACGGAGTATAAATCTAGGAAAATTGGAAATTGTAGAAAATGAAATGGAACGTATAAATATCGATATCCTAGGCATTAGTGAACTGAAATGGACTGGTATTGGCCATAACAATAACATGGTTTATTATGCTGGAATGACAAATTGCAGAGGAATGGCGACACATTCATCATTAAAAAGAATATATCAAGAGCAGTCATGAAAAAAAGCAGTCATGAGGTACAACACTGTTTTGTTGTTGTTAAATGCAGTCGAGTTGGTTCTGACCCACAGTGGCCCAGTATAGGGTTTCCAAGGAGCAGTTGGTGAGTTTGAACCGCAGACCTTGCAGTACAAAGGGTTTTGCAGTCTGGCGCATTAACCCACAGCACCACACCAGGACTCTACAAGGCTGTTAGTGATAGGATAATATCCATCCGCCTGCAAAGAAGACCAGTTGATACCACTATTATTCAAATTTATAAACCATCCACTAAATGATGAAATTGAAGAATTCTACCAACTTCTTCAGTCTGCAATTGATCAAACATGTAATCAAGATGTAATGATCATTACTGGGGATTGGAATGCAAAGGTTAGAAACAAAAGAGAAAGGATCAGTAGTTGGAAAATACGATCTTGAAACATTGCTGGAGATCACATGATAGAATTTTGTGAGACCAGTGAATTCTTCATTGCAAATATCTTTTTAAACAGCATAAAAGATTACTACATACATGGACCTCACCAGATAGAATGCACAGAAATCAAATTGACTACATCTGTGGAAAGAGATGGTGGAAAAGCTCAATATCATTAGCCAAAACAAGGCCCGGGGCAGACTGTGGAACAGACCATCAATTGTTCATATGCAAATTCAGGCTGAAGCTGAAGAAAATGAAAACAAGTCCTCAAGAGCCAAAATATGACCTCGAATATATCCAACCTAAATGTAGAGATCATCTGAAGAACAAAATTAATGCATTAGACATTAAAGACCAGAGGAGTTGTGGGATGACATCAAGAACATCATACAGGAAGAAAGCATAAGGTCATTAAGAAGACAAAAGCAAAAGAAAAAACAAAATGGGTGTCAGAAGAGACTCTGAAACTTGCTATCCAGCATAGAGATGCTAAAGCAAATGGAAGAAATGAGAAAGGTACAAGAGCTGAACAGAAATTTTCAAAGGTCAGATCAAGAAGACAAAAGTAAAATATGATATAACAAAATGTGCAAAGATCTGGAGTTAGAAAACCAAAGAGAAGAACTGGCTCAGCATCTCTCAAGCTGAGGAAACTGAAGAAAAAATTCAAACCTTGACTTGTGGTATTGAAGGATTCAATGGGCAAAATACTGAATGATGAAAAAAGCATCTAAAAAGATGAAGGAATAGACTCATTGTACCAAAAAGAAAAGGATGATGTTCACCCATTTCAAGAGTAATAGGATCCTAAAAGAAGTTGTCCAAGGTGCATTGAAAGCATTGGAAAAGAACAAGGCACCGGGAATTGATGGAATACAAATTGAAATCTTTCAACAAAGATCAGCACTCAAGGCCCTCACTCATCTATGCCAGGAAATTTGGAAGACAACTACCTGGCCAACTAACTGGAAGAAATCCGGTGTTGTGCCCGTTCCAAAGAGAGGTAACCCAATAAAATGCAGAAATCATCGGACAATAGCACTGATCCCATGCAAGTAAAGTTTAACTGAAGGTAATACAGAAATGACTGCAACCATACACTTCTAGAGGTTGAAGCTGGTTTCAGAAGAGGACATGGAATTAGGGATATCATTACTGACGTTAGATGGATCTTGGCTAAAAGCCAATACCAGAAAGATGTTTACTTGTGATTTATTAACTACACAAAGGCTTTCGATTGTGTGGCTCATGACAAGCTATGAACAGCATTGTGAAGAGTGAGTATTCCAGAACACTTAATTGTGCTCATGAGGAACCTGTACATAGACCAAGAGGCAGTTGTTTGGACAGAACAAGGGAACACTAAATGGTTTAAAATTAACCATTAGGAAAGGTGTATGCCAGGGTTGTATTCTTTTACCATACTTATTCAATCTGTATGCTGAACAAATAATCAGAGAAGCTGGTATATATGAAGAATAACGTGACATCAGGATTGGAGGAAGGCTCATTATCAACCTGCAATGTACAGATGATACAACCTTGCTTGCCGAAAGTCAAGAGAACTTAGAATACTTATTGATGATCAAAGACTAGCCTTTGGTGTGAGTTGCACCTCAATGTAAGGAAAACAAAAATCCTCACTACTGGACCAGTAAATAACATCCATATAAATGGAGAAAAGATAGAAGTAGCCAATGGCTTCATTTTGCTTGGATCAACCATCAACACTCATGGAAGCCGCAGTCAGGAAATCACACAACGTATTGCATTGGGCAAATCTGCTACACAAGACCTCTTTAAAGTGTTGAAGAGTAAATATGTCAGTTTGAGGACTAAGGT